ATGCCGTCGCGCTAGCAGTAGGCGCAGCCGTCGAGCTTGCAATCGGCACTGCTGTTGGACTGACAAGTGGCGATGCCGTCGGACTGACAATCGGAATTGCCGTCGGTCTGGCAATTGGCGATGCCGTCGGGCTGACAGTCGGCTCGCCGTTGGACAGACAGTTGGCGATGCCGTCGAACTGGCCGTGGGCGTTGTCGTCGCACGGGCCGTCGGCTCTGCCGTCCTGCTGACGCTCGGTGTCGCGGTCCGTCTGTCAGTCGGCGTAGCCATCCGACTGGCAGTCGGTGTCGCGGCCGAACTCGCAGTCGGCATGGCCGTCGGACTGTCAATCGGTGCCACGGTCGGACTGGCAGTCAGCTTTGCTATTATACTGGCAGCCAGTGTCATTGTCGGACTGGCACTCGGTGTTGCCGTCGGTCTGGCAATCGGCGTTGCCACGGGGCGGACAGTCGGCGACGCTGTGGGACTGGCCGCAGGGCGGCCGCAGGCGCCACCACTCTTCAACGGGACTGCGAAGCCCTTTCTCGAGACAACGTGCGTGTAGCTCCAATGGGCCACCAACGCAGGGAGGTCGCCCTGACCCTCATTGCGTAAACCGCAGGCCACGGCACCCAGCGCTCCTGAGCAGGACTGCGTGGCACCATCTGGCGACAGCCTGCGCGTAGCTCAGGCCAGCAACTAGCGCGGGGAGGTCTCGCTGACCTTCGTGGCCTGTGCTGCAAGCCACGGCGCCGCCATCGCTCCACAGCAGCGCTGTGCGGTACCCGCTCGCGGCGGCAGGCTGTAGATCTGGTCGAATCCTGGGTCGGCGATCCAGATGGCGTAGGCGCTGTGGCTGAAATGGGCGCCACTCTCAGTGCCGCCGTCAACGTCGTCATTGCCGTCGCTGAGGGTGCCGCCGTTGGCGAGGCAGCGGGGGGCACCGGCGTCGCAGTAGCTGACGCCGAGGTCGGCGTCGATCGGCGTGGCACCAACACGCTAACGCGAAGGCGCCCCGTGACTAGGGCAGCACAACCGCCGCGTCGTCATAGCCGGTGCGCCCCTGGGCGTTGCTCTCGACACAGCCGTTGCCCCCGTCCTCAGAGCCGCCATCGACAGCGTTGCTCATGCTACCAATTGCGCAGCTGAGGCCACGGCAGTTCCTGCCGTCTCAATAAAAACCCGTCGCTGTGGCCTCAGAGGCCAATCTTGACTTTGTCGCACCGCCGCGCGGTGTATGCCCCAACGCGACCAAATGTATGCACAACGGCGTCGTGGCCGGAATTCGTCCGTGGTCGGCGGTTCAGCGCCTCGCACGGCAAGCCCAGCCAGCGAGCTTACAGCGCTGCGCACGGTGCATGGCATGCTCGGTCCGCGGCTGCCTGGCTCGCATCACGACCACGGGAAGTAGCAGCGCGGCACGCGGGGCGGCCCGCTCGGGCGGAAGCCCCACGCTCCGTTCGACGGGCCTGGCCAGGGCTTCCCCACTGTGGCCGCACTGTCGCTCTTCGGGCGGGGCGATCACCACGCTGGAGGACGACCAGCCCACGCCTGGACTGGGCGACGCTCTGCAAGCCTCGCGGGCTCCGCGGTCGTGATTGAGGAGCGCGAGATTTGGGCTCGGCGTGTGGGCGGACATGGCCCCTTCCCGCAGCCCCTCCCCTTGCCGACGGCAAGGGGGGCCGCCCCGGAATTCGGGCCTACGTGGCGACGCCCCCTATCACGCACGTCAGCCCGCCCACCGGGCGGATGGCAAACCCATCGCGCGCGGGTGCGCCGGCCCTGCAGGCAGAGTCTCTACTGCAGGCCTGCCGCGGCGGGGGGGCGCGTCGCGCCCGGAGCCAGTTTGAGCAAACTTGAGCCCAAACAGCTTCGGAAGTAGCCGTCGCGCTTGCCGCTCTTCCCCGCCATACTCCCGTAAATGAGTTAGTATACTCATTACACCATCACCACCATCGTCATTCAACTTAGCATCATCACCATCGTCATGCTCATCGTCGCCATCCTCACCCTCGCCCTCACTCTCACCATCATCATCACCATCACCATCAGCACCAGCATCAGCATTATTATCACCAACGCGATCACCATCATCACTATCACCACCATCATCACCACCACCACCATCGTCATCATCATCATCATCATCATCATCATCACCATCACCACCACTATCATCATTATCATCACCATCACCACCATCATCACCATCATCGTCATCGTCATCGTCATCTTCATCACCACCATCATCATCACCACCATCATCACCACGACCGTCATCCTCATTATCACCATCATCATCATTATCATCCTCATCATCACCATCATCAACATCAACATCATCATCACCATCACCATCATCATCATCATCATCATCACCATCACCGTCACCATCATCATCATCATCACCATCATCAACATCAGCATCATTGTCATCACCATCACCATCACCATCACCATCACCACCAATATCATCATCATCATCACCGTCACCACCATCGTCATCACCATCATCATCAGCACCACCATCGTCATCGTCATCATCAGCATCGGCATTAGCATCAGCGTCAGCACCATCATCATCATCATCATCATCGTCATCATCATCAGCATCATCATCATCATCATCGTCACCATCATGTTCATTATCATCATCATCATCATCCTCATCCCTATCCTCATCGTCGTCGTCGTCAATATCATCATCATCATCATCATCATCATCATCATCATCATCATTATCATCATCTGCACCGTCACATCATCTTCAGCATAGTCATCTGCATTGCGTGGCCGTTGAATGTTAGGAAGGCTGAGGCTCAAGCGCTGTGCTTCTATCGGGCTGGGCGAAAGGGGGGGATAGCAAAGGGGGGGTTTGAGAATCAGCTCACGTAGCTGACTTTCCCGGCGCCGGGAGGCGCCCATGTATCGAGGAATGGGCCCGGCGGCGGGGCCGAAACCAGCTGCATGCAGCAGATTTCGTAACCCCCCCTTTCCCTATCCCCCCCTTTCGTCTGGCCCGATTCTACTGGCCAAAGGGGTGCTCAAAAGGAGCGCCGCGACCAGGTAGGTGCATTTATGTAGCACACAGATGGCGGAAGCAGCGTGCCATATGGAGTTTGTGCAGAGAGATTGTTCTCCCCGCTCCCCGATAGTGAGCAATGAGCAATTCCCATCGCGAAGAGCAACTAGTCGCCTGCCGATCAGCGGCATAAGGCATACCTGTTCTGCTGAAATTGTCCAGCTCGCGCACTTTCAGGAATCGCGCAGGGGGCCTTCGGCCCATTGGGGCAGCAGGGTGCGAAACAAGTATTTCCTCGTGACAGCTCCTGGAGGCCGAAATCGCCCAACGTATTTTGTGTACCGAGTGTCGTTGCTTATCCAATGGGCAGAGGGATCAAGACGAGGAAGTCCTCCTTCTCCCCTCCTTGCTCCCATACCTCCAGGATCTATGAAGCACTTCCAAGCACGTCCAACATCTTTGAATCTACCCCCGGGCCGTGAGGACGCTCCAACAACTTCCATCTCCTCCTTCTCCGATACCCCACCCAAGCCCGCAAAGAACTGATAGAGCACCCTGTGACACATCTTCTTCTTCCTTTTCCTCCTCCGTCCCCTTCCTCTCCTAAAGCTTCCAGGAATGCTCGTAAACCTTCAGAGACCTCCGTCTTCTTCTTCCTCCTCCTCCTGCCCCTCGTCATCAATACTCCCCCTCCTCCTCCTCCTCCTCCTCCCTCCCTCCCTCCCCCCCTCCTCCGCCATCCGTTCTCAGATGGCGACGACGGACGATGGTCGACCACGACGACGGACGACCACGGCGAACGACGAACGACGAACGCGACATCAACGACTGCAACGACGACGACGGCGTCAAGTCCCCATAGAACAAGGACTCTTCAATCAACCAGGACACTGGCCCGCCTCGGGAAACTACAAGTCGTGTCGAACCATTCTCCACGCTTGGTGTGCTTCAGCTGGATCTGGCAAAGCCCTGGTTTTGGTGCTCTCAAAGTAGTGCGGTGACAGAACGTGCAGTGCCCGTCAAATCTCAGAAAACCTCACTGGACGGTTCGTCACCGCACGGCCCCGGGACCCTGGAGGCCGCAATCGCCCGAGACATCCTCGGACGACGACCCAGATCTCGAAATCTTGCGCTTGACCACGAGTCCCCTCTGACTCACCCGACGGTGTGGTCGTTGCACGGCTTTAGTCGGTGGCGCGCCCAGGGGAAAAGTGAGAGGGAGCGGGCCTTCTCAGAAGGCTCGGAAGGCCTCCGACCTTCTGAAGGGTTTTCTGAGCCTTCTGCGAGGCCGCAGGGGGAGCTCTTCAGAAATGGGCCCGAGGGCTTCCGAGAAGCCTAGCCGCCTTCTGAGAAGGCCTGCCTCATCTCACTTCCCTCAGGTCGGGAGTGTCCCCCTACAGGCGGATTTTGGACGAAAAATGTCAATGAGTAAGAAAATACCCCCAGATGGTCAAAACATGTCAATTAGTAAAAAAATGCCCCCACATGTCAAACATAGTTGAAAAATCGTCCCCCGACTATTATTTGACTATTTTTGAATATTCCTCCTGTAGAGGGACAGGCCCGACTTAACACTTCCCCCCTCGGCGCGCTGCCGATCGCCGTCATTGAAGTCGTTCGTCCACCGTCGTTGTCACTCCGCGGCCTCAGAGGTCAGATTTCGACGGCTGCTGGGGGGCCTCAGGTCGAGATGGGGGGCCTCAGGTCGGGTGGGGGGGGCCGCGCCTAGCGAAACCGACCTTGTCCACCAAAACCGTCTGGCAGCCTTCGAGACAGGCCCGGGGGCCGAGTATCGGGGAAACGCCGCCGGCTGAAAAAATCATGTCGTCGGAGATCTGCAATGCTCGGCCGCACGCAAGGGTGACCCCTGTCGCACCGCATTCTTGGACTGGGGGAGCCCACTGTGCCCGCACCAGAAAAATCGCTCTGGCGATCGCTCTTGCGCGCAGCTGAGATGTCCTGGCTTCCCGGCTCGCTGGGGCCCTCAGCGCCGCGAGGCCTTGTGCGCCCTGCGGTGGTCCCTCCTGGACGGCAGCGGGCTGCCGGCGGCCAGCGGTCCCCGCGCGCGCCGCTCACGGGCCTGTCCCAGCCGCCCAGGAGGAGGTGGCCCTCGCAGTCGTCGTCGTCGTCGTCGTCGTCGTCGTCGTCGTCGTCGTCGTCGTCGTCGTCGAGGATCGAGGAACGATGTTCGAGGTTCGATGCTTTGGGGCGCGTGTCGGGCCTCCAGGGCCGCCCTCGTAGCCACGGCCAGATATGCGTCTCGAGATTCTGGCAAGAACGCAGCCCAGGAGAGGTCGGTCGGGTAGTCGTCGTCGTCGTCGTCGTCGTCGTCGTCGTCGTCGTCGTCGTCGTCGTCGTCGTCGTCGTCGTTGTCGTCGTCATCGATATTGCAGATGTCGTCGTGGGCGTGGCGGTGATGGTGGTGGATACGATTGTCGTGGCCGTCGTGGCCGTGGTGGTGGTGGTGGTGGTCGTCGTCGTCGTCCTCTCTCTCTCTCTCTCTCGAGTTCGTGGGAGTATGCGGACGGAGAGATGGGACGGGGGAGGATGGCTGGAGGGAGTGAGCGAGGGAACAGAGAGAAGGAATGGAGGGAGGAGGGAGGAGGAAGGACGAAGGGAGTAGGAATAGTGGGTGCTCCAATAGGTGCGACCCAGGCTTGGCTATGCAATCGGATCCGTCCCAGAGTGCTCGGCTGCGGCGAACTGCTGCTGTGTGCTTCGGCCGTCTCAAACAGTGCAGTCAATGCAGTGGAACTACCTCGCGATAATCCATCACATATAGATAGCAAGCGACAGTGGTCTTTACCCAGGGCCTCGGGATGGCTCGGAGCGCTTAGGGCCCTTGGAGGTCGCTCAGGTCCCACGTGGCTTTCAGCGTCTGTTGCTTTGCATTTGCATCGCCTTGTTTTGATAAGCCTTGTCTTACCCTGCTTGGCTTCGCTGTGTCGATCAGTGATGTGTACATGTGCAATGCTATCTTATGCCATCATGCATAATGCGATGAAGCCCCACGAAATGCTATGTCATCGCATGTTGTGCTCTTCTATAAGATTCCACGCTATGGTATGCTCTGTCATGGATGATACTCAGTGTTATGCAATGCTCTGCTATGTAATGCTGTACCATGCGCTTTTACGCTTTGCGATGTCATGGAATGCTGGGTCATGCCATGCACTGCGATGCTACGTAACGTCTTGACGTACAATACTGTGCAATTCAATCGTAGGCACGTGTAATAATGTAATGCTGCGGTATGTCATGCACTTGTTTTCAATGCTTTGCAATGATGTGCGTTGCTGCACCACGCTACGTTATGCTATGCAATGCCACGCTATGCTGCTATGCTATGTTATGCTATGCATGGTGCTGCTATGTCATGCGGTACTGGGACATGCAATGCACTGCTACCCAAGTGTGCTACGATTTGGGATGCAATGCTGTGCAATGCACTTCGGCGGCATGCTATGCGGTACTATGCTTTGCCATTAGTTGCTATGCAATGGTATCCTAGGCGTTGCTCTGCTATGCATTATCATGCTGTTCAACCCTGTATAGCGTTGCAAAACATTGCCTCGCACATGTGTCCCTTCAACACAATAGAGCCTATATGTGTGATCGTACTGAATGTATTTACGTCCAGAGCGAATCTCGAATCGACTCCGTGCTGGACAGCGCGCGTGCGGGTGCGAATTCAGCGTTGAGAGATGCAGGTTCCCTGCCACGCACCACTCTAAGGAGGCACAGTACCAACCCACTATGCCTGCCTGAATTCACGTCTCACCTTGAGCTGGCATCGCCTCCGTGGAGGCTCTGCGACATTGATTATATGCCTCCAACATGGTGGCCCTGTGGCACGCCAGTGCTGGGCAGAAATCCAGAAAGCCCAAGGACACACCGATCCACTTCTGCGCCCACTGGAGCTCCCCCTCCCTGCCGAAGCAGGCTCCGTTGTTCCAGGCCACAGTGGCCAGCCACAGCACCTCCTGCGAGGGGAAGGCCTGCGCCACGCCCCTCACGCCCTGCAGCAGCGACAGTGCCTCCTCGAAGCAGTAGAAGCTGTCATTGCGAGAGGGATACATGCCGACCAGCTCACGCAGTGACATTGCAAACACGTCCATGTGATCGACAGAGCTGGCGGCTGCAGCCTTCGCAGTGGCGTGGAGGTACAAGCGGATGCTCTGCACGGACGCCTCGCGGCACCCCGAGCGCATGGCCAGTCGCGCCATCATCAAGTAGCACTTCGGGTGCAGCAAGCCTTTGGCCGCGGCCTCCGACAAGAACGGGCTGAGGCCCGAGAACTTGGCCTGCGCGCGTGCCTCGAACTCCATCAGGAGGACCAGCGGCAGCGCTTTGTTCGCCGTGCCGCCGGCTTCCGGGCCGAGCTGCTGGAGCCGCATGGCCGACGCCCACTGGCAGGCCTCGTGCGCGTCTGGCGCTGCCTGTGCGGCACGCGCGTAGCGCTCCCGGCTCGCGGCGGCGTCCTCTGGGGCACAGGCCGCAGGGCTCTGACGTGCCAGCTCCAGCAGCGCCGCCATGTGCGCAACGAGGCACATCTGCGCCGCCTCTGCATCCTGCCACTGCACGTGGATATTGGCACTGGCGCGATCACCCTCGCCACCTGGAGCGCCGCCGGCCGTGTCAGGGGCATCTGCTCCGCAACGCTTCCGGGCATGGGCTGCGCCCAGGAATGCGCGGGCGCACAGCTCCCAGCTCCCCACCTGCGCGAGCGCTCGCCCAGCATTCCAGAGCGACTCGAATACACGGCGTGCCGCGCAGCCCTGCGCGCGGGCAGTGAGCGCTTCGAGGGCGCCCACCGCGGCGGCCCACAGCTCTTCGGCGCCAGCGCCAAGCGGGACACGCGCGGGGGCAGCTGGAGGAGCGCCGCCGCCGCCTGTTGCCGGAGCCGTAGCCGCGTCCGAGGCCGCCTGCGCCAGCAACAGTAGGATATCTGCCGCCTGTTCCATGCCAACGTCGCCATCCTCCTCGGGCGGCCAACCCGCCCGGACCGCGCTGGCCACCGCCAGTAAACACGCCGAGGCCTCGAGCGGCCGCGCAGAGCCAGCGACCGCCGCCCTGGCCAACGCATGCGCTGCGCGCGCCGGCAGAACCCGCACGGTGGCGCAGGTGGCCAGATCGCCCGCCTCCGTGGCGAGGAGCACGGCTGAGGCTCTCGCGTCCGCGGCGTCCAGCGCCAGGGCGGCCTTAGCCTCGAGCCTGGCTTCCGCAGCCTCACCGCCGCACCAGAGGCACAGCGCCAGCGCCGATGCCAGCCCCCACTTTGCCGTTGGGGGAGTCTTTCCCTGTGGGAGCTCGCGCAGCCACGCCGCCGCAACGTCAGGCTTTCCTGCATCGAAAGCTCCACATGCGATGTTCCACACGTGTGCCACCTTTGCGGCCTCGAGCTCCGAGGTGTCGCAGCCCGACGCCGCGCCTGCGCATAGCTGCGGAGAGTCGCCCGGCCGCATGACTTGGACACGCGTCAGGTTGGCCGTGGCTGCAAGCTCCAAGCGCGAGAGCCAAGGCGGCGGGGCACCCTCTTGCAGGCTTTGGCGGAGCGCAGCGAGCACAACGAGCGCTGGCGCAGGCAGGCCAGACGCCATCAGCTCGCAACAGACCTCCAGGCCATCCTGAGGCGTGGCACCCTCGCAAGTGGCGACGGCGAGCGCAGCACGCTCGAGGTCGGCGCCCGCGGCGCCGCCAGGTGCCGATGCCGCGAGAGCGCAGCGGGCGCGGAGTGCCAGGCGTAGCGACTGCGCGAGGCAAGCTGCGTCACACCCGGCGCTCTCCGCGGCCCTCTCCGCGAGGGGTATGGCGAGGGCGGGGTCGCCGGCCGCCAGGTGACATGCGGCCAGCTGCCTCAGCAGCCAGGCCTCCAGGCGCGTCGCCTCTGCGCAAGGCAGCGCACCTCCCAAGGCTTCCTGGGCCAGACGCAGCGTCGCCACTGCCAAAGCTAGGCGGCCCTGGCGGATGTGCTCGAAGCCATACGCGACGCACGCGTCGAACCACGCCTGCGCGTGCGCAGGCTCCGCCAAGTTTGCGGCCGCCTTCAGCGCCTCAAGCGCTGTCTCGTGTTCGCCTGACTGCGCCGCCGCGGCGGCGAGGCCGAGGCCGGCGAGGAGCGAGGCGTGTTGTAAAGCGATCCTGTCGCTCGCAGCGAGCGGCTCCCCGTCCAGCAACGACTGCTGCTCGCAAGCGGTGGAGGCGGCGACGGCAGCCTGCAACACGGCACTGCTGCCTGGACGGGCCGGGTCGCCCACGGCGCCCAGCCCAGCGCATGCGAGCCTCGCAGACGCCGCCGCGAAGTCCAGCGCGTCGCCCTGCGGGCATCCCTTGCCCACGAGGAACGCCTCCGCAACGCGCCGCACCGAGTCTGGGGATGTGCCCAGCGCCGCCCTGATCCACGAGAGGTTCGGACGCATCTGGCCTTCAGCCCGCGCGCAGCCCTGGAGTGGCGGCGACGGCATGGCTGCGGCTCCTGGGGAGTTGCGCGCCGGAGCAAGACGGATCTCGAGCCAGACTGATTAAGGGATGGGCTCATTTGTGCCCACTTGAGCGGCGAAACACAAGGGTCTCATGCGGGGGGGCATACCGAACTTGCGCGGTAGAATACGCGGGCCGCCAGCGCGGCACACCACATCGGAAGTGAAGGAAATTACGCGCGACCTTACGCGGGCAGCTTACGCGCCAATGTCGGTGAAGACGACCCCGCGTTTTTCCGTCGCTCACCTGTCGCGAAGATGGACTGCTCTTTGCGTGCGCTCCGTGAGAAAGCACTGTCGTGGTCCCTGGCCTGCCGTCTCTGGCGTGTCCATGCCAGCATCTGTCACGCTTCCATCGCGAGGTTCCCGCTCGAGACTGCGTCAAGATCCAGGCGGCCAGGCGTCAAACATCTTGTGTTATCACATGTATTCCAACAGCCGCCTCGGATCAGAAACATGAGGTGTGGACCCACCCTATAGGGAGGGGGCTCCCGCTCGAGACGTTCAAATTACTCACTAAAGAGGCTCCCGCTCGAGACATCTTCACAGCATGCTCATGAGCAATGGTCATGATGGCGATGAGTACGACCGTGGTGACCATGATGATACCGACGACGACGCCTTATGGAGGTCATGGTGAAGAGGAGGGAGCGATACTGGTGATATCGGAGTCATGATGATCAGGATTCTGATTAAGACGACGATAGCTGCGTCGGGTCATCATCGTGATATTGATGGAGATGGTCATTATGACGAAGGTGACTAACTATGGTTGTGGTGATGACATGTGATGACGATGATGATGACGACGATGATGACGACGACGACAACGATGATGACCATGATGAGAAGGAGGATGTCGGTGACGGTGACGGTGACGGTGACCGTGCTGATGATGATGACGATGATGCTGCATGTGATGATGCTGTTTATGACGATGGCGATGATGATGCTACTGCTGATGATGTTGTTCATATTGGTGATTGTGGTGATGCTGATGATGGTGGAGGTGGTTATGACGAGGATTATGATGATAGTGGTGGTGCTAATGATGACAATGACGATGACGATTATTATGATGGTGGTGTTTATGACGACGATGACGGATATGATGACGACGACGACAGTTATGATTATGATGAGGATGTGTCTGCCTTTGCGGGTGTGCCTCGAACAAACAATATCCACCACTTAGGACGCGGGGATAACATGTTCGTTCTCCACGACCTTCGGTCGACTATCGCTCCACGTGCAATGTTCGAAGACTAACAACGACCCTCTGAAATCCCCACGGGGGCCCAAAACAGCCTCAAAAGAACGCCAAGATGGCTCAAGAAGGCCTCCGGAGAGAACCAATACGGCCAAATCATGCCCCTGGACGGACCACGAGGGCCACACGACGGCCCCACGATATCCCCTAGGCAGCCAACATGGCACCAGAAGGGCCTCGAGACGGCCCAGGATAGCCCCAGGATGTCCAAAGACGGCCCCGCGGGACCCCATGACGCGGCAGCGCTGGCGGTCGCAAGCGCGTCTGCAGAGCCAGCGGGCCGTGCCAGGCACTGGGCACACCAGAGCGGGTGGAAGAGGGCGCCCGCGGAAGTTGAGGGAAGGGGGACGCCCGAGCGCCGAGAGTCGGCGGGGTGGGAGCGCGCGGGCGGCCCCAGGCAGGGGGGAGGGGACACTCCATGTGCTCCAAGTGCTCCTCGGGGGGGGGTCCCAAAGGCCTCCTGGTTGCGCGTACGCGGAAGATGGGCGCGGGAACGAATGCTCGACGCCGGCGGGGGCACAGACGGGGGAGCCCGGGTGTTGCCCGTCGCTTCTTGGGCCGCATCTCCTGCTGAACATGGGGTGCTCCCCCGAGTCCTGGACGCCGACCGCGGCGTGGGCTAGGGGATCTTCCCGATTTGAGGCGGGGAGGCCAGCGGCAAACCGAGAGCTGCACCCATCCCCCAAACCTCCTTATCTCCCCGAAGGGTAGTCCTGTAGGATATATTCCTCTTCCTAAATTTTTATTACCTGGACCCCCCCACCTCCCTCCATCCCTCCCCGCTAAACTGGACCCCTCCAGGGACGTCCTGGACGCCCTTTCGGACGTCTCGGCGGCCCCCAAAGTCCGCTGGCCCTTCCGGGCCTCCAAGGGCGCCATGCCGGGCCTTGCGAGCAGACTCAAAGCGATCAGATGGGTCATCGGAAAGGCGCAAGAGAGACTCAAGACAACACAAGAGCGCTCCAAGAGGAACCTCGATGGTCCGAAGACGGCTCACGAGGTCCTCAAAATGCCCCAAGAGGCCATTGAGAGAGCCCCGAAGAAACAACAATTGTCCCACTCCTGCATGTCTAGCATATCCGCTTTTTGGGTCTTCGCAGCGTCCAAGACGGCCCGATGGGCCCCCGATATCGCCCCAAGACTGCCCAAAAGGCCCCCCAGAGGGCTTGAAGACGGCCCAAAAGGGCCCCAAGACTGCCCCAGAGAGCCCCGAGACTGCTTGCAAAATACCCCAAATGCCCCCAGAAGGCTCCCAAGAGAGACCAACGAAAACCATGGGAGACCCCCAAGGAGGCCATCTAGGGCCCCCAAGAAGGCCCTAGATGGCTTCAGAAGACCTCTGGAGGGCCCCAGTCCCCCAAGACGGCCCAAAAAGGCCCCAAACGCCCAAGAGGGCCCCAGGACGGCCCAAACGAGCGCCAAAAACGCCCAAACGACGTTCTCCGTGCGCTCGTTGCGCTCACGCCAACCCGCCTGTCTTTCCCGTTCCTCTATCACCCTCTCTCTCTCGCTCCCTTCCCCCCCTCTGCCTTCTCCGTCGACCTCCACGTTCGTGGCATCCGATGGCCATTCTGATTCACCCACTCCTTCCTGTGGACCTTCTATCTGTTTCCCCCCCCCCCTCATCCCCCTTCCGCCTCTTCAGCCCCCCCCTCATCCCTGCTCCCTTCCCGTTCCCCCGTGCATGGACAAGTGCCATCGCGACAGTTTGATACTTCGTCGTTGGCCAGCACCTTCGCGTGTGAAGAAATTGTCGTTCCTCCCTTCCCCACTCCTGCGCAAAAGCGTGCAAGCGCATCGGGCGAACGCGGTGTCAGCCGGCACCAGGATATCAGAAAAAATATCCCGGCAAAGCAACCTAACAGCGATGTGTAGGAGCATATCTGGAAGCATTCCCCTTAAGATTCAGATGAGAATCCAGTTGTAGAATTCTGCTGTTCTCGCAGTCGTAGTCGCATTCGCGATGACAGTCGCAGTGGCAACGGCAGTCGCAGTCACAGCCTCAGCCTCAGCCTGCCTCAGCCTCAGCCTCAGCCTCAGCCTCAGCCTCAGCCTCAGCCTCAGCCTCAGCCTCAGCCTCAGCCTCAGCCTCAGCCTCAGCCTCTGCCTCTCAGCCTCGGCCTCAGCCTCAGCCTCAGCCTCAGCCTCAGCCTGCATCAGCCTCAGCCTCAGCCTCAGCCTGCCTCAGCATCAGCCTGCCTCAGCCTCAGCCTCAGCCTCAGCCTGCCTCTGCCTCAGCCTCAGCCTGCTTCAGCCTCAGCCTCAGTCTGCCGTCGGCCTCGGCCTCAGCCTCAGCCTGCCTCAGCCTCAGCCTGCATCAGCCTCAGCCTCAGCACGAAGCGACCCAGCTAGAAGGACAAAGCGCTGAATGTACACCGATGTGTTCGACGACTGCGTATGTAATGATGTGACGATATACAGACTGAGCCCTTCGTGAATGTCTACATGTTTTTCTGACGCCTACAAACGGCGCTGACGTGTGTGAGAAAATTGTCCGCGCAGCAAAAGCCGGCGAAGCGTGCGGGAGCTCGCATGCTGAGACAGACTACGTCTGCAGACCGCCAGCTGCAAAAGGTTGCGAGCGGCTCTTGGAAGATGTTTACGGAACGGAGCTACGGTGTCTGAAAACATTGGCATCGAAGCGAAGAGCCTCGGAGCCCTGCAACCTGAGAAACACCGCAGGAACTCGCATACTGAAAAGGAATGCATTGCAAACCGCACGCTGCGAACCCTGCAGGCTGAGAAGCACCGCAGGATGTCGCATGCTGAAAAGCACTTGTACTGCAGAGCGCTAGCACTCCATCTCGGGCTCGGACCCCCCCGTCCTGATCCAGAACGTGTCCGGCCACGGCCTGAAAATGCCGTTCCAACTCCCGAGGATCAGCTGGCACTCCGGCTCTGGGACACTCCAGTACGTCTTGAGCACCTTGAGCCAGGCCCCATCTCGGGATCCCCACAGCACGCTGTACTTGACCGAGACCGTGCCGAACTCATAACAATTGACCTCCGAAGGACCTGCGAGTGCAGGCTGAGAAACACCACGCGATTGCAGGGCACGGCATTGCGTGTCACATGAGTGCAGGCTGAGAAGCACCACATCTCGTTTGCCAGAGATCACTCCCAGGTTATTTGATTCCGCAACACCAGCCACGGCGTAGCTGCCACAGGGGCCGCAGATAGCAACGGTTCGGTCACCGAATTGGCGTTCCGGTGAGTCACAATTCGCGTGTGGCTCCACGAGCCTGTGTAGCGCGATTTGCGGGGCACCAGTGTGCTGTAGCTGTTGTTGCCGTAGCAGAAGACGGCCTCTGGAGCCCAGTGCGGATTCCAGCGGACAGCGTAGACCCTGTGGACGCCATTGCGGATGACGTCGCGCGCATCTTCGATATGTGCCACCCATCGAAGCCAGTCAAATGCTGAGCCATCGGTGATGTCAACAGCACCTGGGGCAGTCTCGCCATGGTGGTAGTGCAACAGCGATTGGAGAGCGGCGCTGGCTTCGTCGCGGCCCACAATCTGGCGCGAGCAGGCTGCCTCTTGCAGGTGCTCCTGTGTGAAGAGCAGTGGGGCATCACCGCCAGTCTCGGCAGGCTGAGCAGCGCCACCGTCAGGCACGGCAGTCTGAGCAGCGCCGCCACGAGGAACATGAGGCTGAGCAGCGCCAGGCTCAGGCACGGCAGGCTGAGCAACGGCGCGTGGTGGACCGACATAGGTGGGCTCATCGGGTCGGCCGTTCTTATGGTAATGCAGGCGCATGGCTGAACCGTCTGCACGACGGAACTCGAAGAAGTGCCTGCCGTGGCCATCCGTGTTGGAGTAGTTAG